TCCCGAGTGTGGTCGGATCGGTCCCGACTCTTGACCAGCATGTCATCGATGTAAGCTTCCATCGTTCGGCCCAATAGATCGGCAAAGAGCATGTTGACCATCCTCTGGTAGGTCGCTCCTGCGTTCCGGAGACCGAACGGCATCACTCGGTAACAATACAGTCCGTCCGGGGTTACGAAGGCTGTCTTGCTCTCGTCTTCATGGTGCATCATGATCTGATGGTACCCCTTGAAGGCATCCATGAAGCTCATTAATTCGGCCCCGGCCGTTTCGTCGACCATCTGGTGAATGCTCGGTAGAGGATACGGGTCGAGCGGACAAGCCTTGTTGAGGTCCGTGAAATCGATGCACATCCTCCATGCTGGGGGCTTAGGAACAAGAACGATATTTGCCACCCACTCGGGATAGACCACCGGACGGATGTGCTCGATCGCCGCCATCTTTTTGACTTCTTCTCTGACAAATTCGCGGCGATCGGAGGAAAGGTGTCGTGTCTTCTGCACGACCGGCTTTGCTGCGGGATCGACGGCTAACTTGTGACAGATGACCGACCGATCGATCCCGGGCATGTCTTCGGGCCCCCACGCAAAGATATCAGCATACTCCCGGAGTATGGCCAAACCTTCTGCTCGAAGCTCGGGGGTGAGGGCTCGGCCAATCTTGATCTTCCTATCCGGGCGGTCCTCGGACAGGGGAACTTCTTCTATTTCTTCGGAAGGCTCAGGTTGTTCCTTCCGGTCCTTAGCCTCCTCATTGGCTATGGTGTTCACCCGGGAAGACGGACCGGAGTCACGTCTATTAACCGCTCGGGTGTAGCATTTCCGGGCGGATTGGACATCGCCACGGACCACGCCGACCCCATTAGGGGTGGGGAATTTCATGCAGAGGTGAGGCATAGAAATTATCCCACCGATCTTCATAATGGCGGGTCGGCCCAAGATAATGTTGTGGACGCAATGGAGGTTGACCACAACAAATTCCAGCTCCGTCTTGATCGACTTTGGAGATGTGCCGATCTCGACCGGGAGCGTTATCTTTCCCTCGGGGTAAATAAGAGCCCCGGTAAATCCTGACAGTGGTACACCGACCGGAGTCAGCTCCTTCCTGTCGAGGCCAAGCTTCTCAAAGACGTCCAAGTAAAGGACGTTCACGCTGCTGCCCGTATCCACCATAACCCTTTGGACGTCCGTCCCCATAATGTCAATCGTGACCACGAGCGCCTCCATGCCGTGGTCACTGCTGGTAGGTTGGTCCTCGAGGGTGAAGGTTATGGGTTCCATTTTCTGCCTCTTCCCGGTCTCCCGGGAATCCACTATAGCGACCGGGCAATTAGTCCGCGGTCGGGAAGCATCTTCCAGTCCACCAAAAATGACATGGATGGTAGGCTTTCCGGACGGGCGGCTACCAGATGGAGGGTCAGGGTCCCGTCGGTCATCATGACGATCGTCCCTTCGATCGTCTCTTCGGTCCTGACCTGGTCGATCGGAACGGTGATGAGAACGCCTGTGATCTCTCCGATCGGTATTCCTCTTATTGTCTTCTCTCCTCCCCACGCACTTGTCCAATTTTCCCATATTAAGCAGATCTTCCAACAATTGGCGTAAGTGAGTACACTCCTCGGTGTCATGCCCGGCGCATCGATGGTAAGCACAGTGCTTACTCTTGTCAGGGCCGTCTCGATCGGGGTAGGGGAGTTTGATGAGATTGCAGGACTGGGCGTACTGCATGGCCTCCGCTGCGGATCGGTTCAAGGCCGTAAACTCGCCAGGCCTGGTGCGGGATCGGGGATTGTCATCTCCCGACCGATGTTCCGCCCGGCCGGCCGGTTTACGGGACGAAGAGCCGACCTCCTGCAAGCGCTTTACGGCGTTCGCCTCGCCGGCGTTGGCATAATCTGTGACCCTCCGAAGGGCCTCCTCGTAACTGGTCGGGGGGTGTAGGATGAAGTCTTGATACAAATGTCCCGCCCGGAGAGATATATGAAGCATATGGGTGGCGGTCGCGTCGTCCATAGGCTCGACTTCCCCGACCGCTGCCTTCCACTTGACGAGGAAATCGGTCAGGCTTTCCCCTTCTAGCTGCTTGGCCTTCTCAAGATACATGTAGGACTCTCTCACCACTTTGGAAGTAATGAACTTCCTCACAAACTTGATCGCCAAGGTATCAAATCTGTCGATCGAGCCCGGTTGTAAGGTCCGAAACCATTCCGCTGCTCGACCGGTGAGCGTAGAGTAGAATGCCCTACACATTACGGCGTCTGAAACGCCCTTCATCATCATGTTGCTGTAAAAATCATTCACGTGGGCCTCAGGATCTGCCCGTCCGTCATAACTCTTCTCTCCAGAGACCTTTAAGTCAAGCGGGTAAGGCTGGGCCATTACCGCTGCTGTGAAAGGCGTCTGGTGCAGGGTCGATTGGTTGACCGGGGGTGTTGCAGGGTACGCATTCCTGAGCTGCGCAACTTCCGCCTGGAGGTTATAGAGCAATCCTCGGGTTTCGTTGAGCTCGGCGGCTTGAGCGGCTTGGGCTGTATCCCGAGCGCGTCGCCGTCGGTGAGATCTCGACCCGCTATACCCAGATGAAGCCTCCTGACTAGCCTCCTGCATCTGTACGTCTTCTTGCCCGCGGTTCGGGTCTTGGGGTCCCAAACGCTGGCGCATCTCCGGTCGAAGACGATCAAAAGCCGCCGCCCGGGCAGTTTCTTCAGGGTCCTCCGCTTGGACGGCCTGGGCTGGTGCCTCCATCGCATCAGCACCCCCCGACCCCAACCGCGAATGAGCCGAGCGTCGAGCCCGGGATGCGGACTGACGCTGCGGCTCTACCTGTGCGGTCGGATGTACTGGAGGGGCGGCGGCTGGAGCTGTATAAGCAGGCGTATATGGTGGATAACCAACCGGGGGAGTGTAGCACATCGGTTGGCCTGGCCAATACCCATACGGCGGAGGTGGGACCGGGTACGGATACTGGGCGGGATACATCATCGGCTGCTGCTGGTATGGCAGACCGGGTGTTGGGTATCCCGGTTGTATGTAATTCACCGGCTGTTGGGCGGCCGGGTATGCATTTGATGGATGCGGTGGTGAGAGGTTGAGGTTTAGATCGACCGTCTGACCTTGCTGTTGGGTAGCATGATGGTCAGATGAGCTCGCCACATCTGCTTGGTCGTCGGCGAAGTTGTTATATGCCCACGGATACATCGTTGCAAAGAGGCCGAGTGCTCGTCAAGACGTAGCTTTGTTGCACTGATCCCCACAGACGGCGCCAAAATGATACTGCTAATTATACGTAAGCAATATGAAGTAACTCGAGACCAATTAAAGCAAGTAAATGTCTGTATTGATCACGGTAAAGGCCCTAAGTACAATCTACTTGGTTGCTCTGAGTGCCGACTGACTGCGGTCGGGATTCTCTAACAACAACCTATCGATCGTCCAAAAGTCCCCTCCACTGTAGCTAGCGTGGGTATTTATAGCCGTTATGCCGGGGACAAGTCTCCAGCCGTTCGGCATGTCCTCCACGTAGCCACCACGTGTCATCCTCCCGGGTGCCCTGCCTGTCGATGTAGAGATCCGCCACGTGTCCTTCGTCAGCTCTCCCGCCAAAGGGCTACCGCTCGGTGGTTGACATCGTCGTTCGGGCAACTCCCGGTCGGACCCCGACCGGGTTCTTCACAAGGAGTTCGACCTGTTACCTGCAAAGACAAAGAGAAAAGGACAAAGGCTTCTCGGTCGTGGTGAAGCTATGTCGGTCGGGATATTCCCTACCATATATATATATATATATATATATATATATATATATATATATATATATATATATATATATATATATATATATATCATTTTACTTTACCCTAACCTGACATGACAAGATATAAGCTATGGAATCATATTGAAAGGTCCCTTCTATGAAAGAAAAACATATATGCATGTCCATCTAGAGATCAACACATTAGACTGTACTCCTGGCACAATAAGTATGAATTTAAATTCAACAATGTTTTTACTCTATGAAGTAGCTAGCAATAGGGTTGCCATTGTACGAAGAGACTTAAAAGAGCTCCATTATTTGATGTTTCATTTTAACGTAACATTGTCTTCTTATGAGGTTTCATTCAAACATCAAAAGATTCCAAAATCCTAAAGTCAAATCATACTAGCAATTTTAGATAGACAAAATAATTATAATCAACATGCAATGTCATGCTTTCTTGTTTCCCATAGTCAAAGTTATAATGCTAATTAACTTACTTAAAATGATTATAATGAACATGCAATATGGCATGCTAATTCTCCTCCTCCTCCTCTTCTTCTTTTACCTAAAAAGTAAGGAAATGTAAGTCGATGAAAATTGAAATTTACTCTATTTCAAATTTCCAAACAATCCTTAATCAAAGGTTAAGGGTTCGATCATTGGTTTTGGGTATGGAGTAGTCTTAAATCTCTATGACAGCTGTTACATCCAAAAGAGGTACCCATGATTCAGCGAAAAGATTAATCATTGTGTCGACGGTGGAAATCCTAAATACACCAAAAAAAAATACCCAAACAACTTATGAAGACCAAACAAAAATTGCTTTGGAGACTTCTTCCATGGCGAAGGAAAGCACAAGTTATGCTTGCTACTCTATTTTGTTCTCTAAACATGTACTCAATATGCTTGCAATAACCAAGCCACCATAGTCTCTCTCTCTTTTTTTTTTTTTTTTTCTTGTGAATTTATTACTCTGATCTTGATCTTCAAATTTAGTTGAAAAATATTTAAAATATGTTAATTTTATTCATCACAAAAGATTAAAAAACATATTTTAAATCTAAAAATGCCATATTTTAAATAATCATAAACAAAATCGGATTAATTTAAAACTTAAAAAGAAAAAGCATAATAATTAAAATTAACCCATGAATTTTTCTGTCAAAAGGAAACACAATACAAAGATTATTACAAACATTTCAACAGAATACTTGCCAACAAATTAAATAAAGAATAATAAAAAAAAATTGATTAAGAAGCATAATTTTCAGTAATCATGGTATAATAGAATTCTAAAAATACAGAAGTGGTGGATATTTAGGTAATTACAGAACCCAAGCTAACCAGCTAGAGACACGTCTAGGAACTTGATACAAACAACCTGGAAAGAAATAAAAAAGATTTTTTTGAGATACCAAAATCCTTCTCAAATAATGTCAGAGAACATGTTTGACAACTTCACATTGCTAAAACTCCAACAGCCACTCCCCATTCATTCCATCTTCAAGGTTTTGCAACCTAACAAAATATTTTCAACCAAAACAAGATTAGATAATTAACCCCAGCAGCAGTTAACCATCTTCACAAAACCCTAAAATCCATGTATATATATATCCATGCATGCAAAAATGAACCCCAAATCTGAGGATTCCCACTTTCTCACTCTTATGATTTTGGAAATTAAAGAAGATAAATAGCAAAGTATGTCTTGGTGAGACGTATACTTAAGCGTTGCTGAAACTTACCTCACTTTAGGGCTTGTTTGATAAATAGTGGATCCACCAAAATTTTGACAAATAATCCATTTTTGAAATGTCAAAATTTGAGATTTTAAGTCAACAGTTTGTTGCGTTATCTTTCTCCAAAATGCTCTATAATTAAAAAATAATAATAATAATAATTTACTGAGGCTCCTTTAATGGAAGAGCCTTTTGGCTCCTCAACGTTTGCCGTTAATCACTGATGGTCACACAAGACCTTAATATTTGGTTTTGGAAATGGATCAACCTTAAATCTTCATTGTCCCACTCAAAAGAGGTGCCTACAATTCAGCGAGGAAATTAGTCACTGTCCGACCGTGGACACCATGGGTATACCCAAAAAAAAAAAAAAAAAAAAAAAGATCCTAATCTTTGGCAATGCACCAGGAATGTATATATCTCCATGCATGACCACAATTCAAATGAACAACCTCAACTGACAAATTAAAGCAAAGTTATTAGTATCAGGAAAGATGCTAAACATTAAAGTATTAATCAATGGCAACAAATTAAAGCATCTGCACAATATAAAAGCTAGACAGATCAGAGAGCAAAAGTTTAAGTAATGAAAAAGATCACACACATACACATACAGAAGCATAAAAATACAATAAAACCCAGAAAAGGGAGCTCCCTTCAGTCCAAGTACAGGAAGATTAGGATCCAACTTGTCTCCCAGATCATTCACTCAGTTACAGAGAGAGTCTTCTCCATTCAGTTCATCTCAGTATTTGGATGAATGAGCCAGAAGCTAATTGAACCCTACTTCTACCCATGAGTGGACTGAAGAAAGCTCTCTTCTCGCAATTTCATTATTTTCTTTCATTAATTAGAAACAATTTTTGCCTCAGTAGTAATGAGAATATAATTTTCTTCTTCTGAGTTTGGAAAAGAGGATAATGCTGTTTGGAGGGGATGGAGAAATGGAGGAAAGGTGGGCTTGGTAGCCTATTGGAGTAGCTGGAGAAGAAGGGGTTTATATACTTGGGAGAAAGCTGATCGAGGGTTGTGATTAGACAAAACAATATAAATGTTTTTAGTTATTGCTTTTATAATAATAAGAAAAGAAAATTACTTGTTTAATTTGGGGAAAGGTTATTCATATTCTTCTTTCTTATAGTCATGTCAATAGTTATCTTTATGAAAACAATAAGTTATATCAAGTAACAATTTTTATTTGATACCTCTCACTTCAATGTTTTCCTTGCCAAAATAAAAATAAGAAGAGCATTTTAATTTGTACGTACGGTTACAAGTTACGAATTAGATATTGTCAAAATAAAAATAAGAAGAGATTGTCCAGTTCGATTGAGTAGTCGAGTTAACTCAATCGAATTGGGTAGAAATTAGAAGAGAATTATAAAGAGAAAAGCCTCGGACATAGTCATTAAAAAAAACTCTTCTTAGTGGAAGATCTTTCCTATGAAGGTGGGAGCCTTGCTAATTTTTTAAATGATTATAATGTATATCAAAATGTCAAGTATCTTGTGGTCAGATAGTATATAGTGACCTCTCCCATGTGGGAGGTCATGAAATCGGGCCTCAGGGGAGGCGTTGTTGACTCTTTGTACCCTCATTAGATTGAGGTGTATTTAATCAAGACTTTTATGAAATTTTAAAAAGTTTAAAAGTTTGGTGGTATATATTCAATTAAAGTTTTTAAAGAGTCTTTAAAAATCTATTGATATGATATTTGATTTAAATTTTTTAAAAATCTCTAAAAATATACTAGTATTTAATTCAGACTTAAGCCTTTAAAATCCTATCCTTTATATAATAAAGCTATATGGTTTGGGAAATAATTAATGTTACAATTAATGCCACAACATCTTATATTATAAAAAAAAAAAAAAAAAAAAAAAAAAAAAAACACAACATTTAAAAAAAATAGCTATATATTATATAATCATATAAAAAATATACTTTTGAAAAATAAAATAGCTATATATTATATAATCATATAAAAAATGTGTTCAATTAGAGTTTAAATTTACACATACAAAATTTGAAATTTTCTTTCCAAATGTAATTATCTTAGTTATTATTCGTATTGTGAAAATTATAATATAGATTAAATACAATTAAGAATAAATCAATGTAATTATGTAAATTCTCTCTATAAGTTTATTTGAATATGCACATAATTAGAGATTATATTAATCATACAAAATTATAATTTTAATTTTAATTTTAATTTTAATTGTAATTTTGTATTCTATAAAAATAATAAATACTTGACCAATGGAAGCTCAAAAATATTATTATATTAAATAATTTAAAATATTTTAGTTTTTCTATTTTTTATTTATATTTATAATAACATAATTTTTTTCTCGTGCATCGCGCGAGTGAATTACTAGTTGATATTTAAAAACTTATGAATTTTTATAGACATATTAGAATTTGTATAGAAATTTTTCTTTAAAATACAAACCCTCCAATCCCAAATGTCTTAATTAACTTTCTTTCTAGATTTTTTTCTCATTACCAGACAAACTTTCAATGTATTCCAGCCAAATTTTTACGCTATATTACTTTCATTAATACTCAAATACTTTGGAACTTTTTTTTAATGTGCATATATACTTTTAAAAAATTCTTTGTGTATTTTGCTACCAACAACAACCTATTTGTAGCGAATTCGTGCTATGAAAAAGCTTAAAAAGTAATTTTTAAGCAATTTCATTAATTTAGAGTTATTACAATTAATAATTTATGTACTTATTTTATTATAATAAATTACAAGTATTTATTCGAATCTTTTTATTATAGTTATTGTTCATCTTTATAATTATTATAAATTTTAATTTACAATTTTATTTTAATATAATTAAAAATTATTATCACCATTAAAATAATTAATTTATAATAAACAACTATGTAAGTTCATTTTAAGAGAATGAGTTAAATGGAAAAAGATACAATTTTCTGACTTTCAACCAAATAGAAGAAATTATTCTTTGGCCTTCAACCGTATACTAGAAAATGGAAATATTTTATAAAAATGACTTATTTTTTATAAAATTTTTAGAAAATAATTTACGGGTTTACATATATGGTGATATTTTTATTTTATTTTTTTAATATGAAACATTTTTAAAAAATTATAAATGTTGTCTTATAGACTTTTATAAAAGCCATTTAAAACTTTTTTCACTTTAAAAGTCCATAATAAAACTAATGAGTGAATTGCATTTTTGGTCCTACTGTTATAGGGGCGTTTCCACTTTTAGTCCACCTTAATTTTTTTGCTACTTTATAACCATTATTATTGAATGTGTTCCACTTTTAGTTCCACCGTTAGTATTTCCATCAAGAGGTCGTGTAATCTAGGGGTATTTTAACCTTTCTTCTCATCCAAGACTATGTTTGACTAAAGAAATGAGAACATTAAACCTAAAACCTAAGAAACCTCGCTGGCCCATGTTGGAACGAACGAAACGATGTAGCTTTGACTTCCCATTCTCGTTGTTCGAAGAGCCATCTTCGAATATCAGGGGAGGAAGACGAAGCGCCTGGATTAAAAGAGAAGAGACAAACATAAAAAGGCCAAAATACCCTTTGATTATACGTCCTCTTAACGAAAATATTAACGGTGGACTAAAAGTGAAACACATTCAATAACAGTGGTTGTAAAGTGGCAAAAAAAATTAAAGTGGACAGAAATTAAAAACGCCCCTCTAACAGTAGGACCAAAAATGAAATTCACTCTAAAACTAATACACCCATAAGGCCATGTTTAGTTAATGGCGAATCCGCCAAAAACCCCGTTTGGTTAAGCAGTGGTTTGGAGCAAACCGCTGCTTTTGCAAACGCTGCATATTGCAGCGTTTGCCTTTAGCGTTTTGGGGAGAAATCTATTTCTTCCCAAAACGCCCCTACTTATATATTAAAAGGGGAGCAGCGCAAGCTGCTTCTTCTTCTTCTTCTTTTTTTTAATTTTTTTTTACTATTTTATTTTTTATATTATTATTATTATTATTATTATTATTATTATTATTATTGTTATTGTTATTGTTATTGTTATTTATTATGTATTCAATTTATTGCATGATGTTATTATATTATTATTATGTATACCCTTATTATTATTATTATTATTATTATTATTATTATTATTATTATTATTATTATTATTATTATTATTATACCCTTTTAGTCATTTTATATATTAACCGCTAATCTAAACAGTTAATTTTATCAAACATCTTTTTATATAATCGCTGATACAATCTGCTGGTCAAACCCACTAACACAATCCGCTATTTGTTAACCGTTAATACAATACGCTACCACTGACCGCCTAACCGCTGTTTGCCAAATAAGTCCTTAATCTTATACATACTTTAAATCCTCACACGTGCTTTAATTTTTTTATGGGCGAAAAGCACGTGCTTCAATAGTCACAGGTTACTGCTATTTGGAGGAGAAGGTTACGGCTATTAATAATATGCAAAAAAATATTAGTTAATGCAAATGATTTTCTATAATAATACATTAAAAATTGTCTATTTCATTCCATAAGACAACGACAGAAGCATATATTTGCTATTTTTTTTTCTTCTAATTATAATCTAAACCGGGCAACCATTAACTTACCCAAGTGGTGTGGCGTAGCTTCTTAAACTACAAAATATTCATTCACAATTGTTATACCATGGATCATGATCCAAAAATTTCATTGTTTTGTTAAGTAAACAGAAACGGCAACCATTACTAATCTTGTATTTATGATGTACTTAGAATAAAATTAAACTATAATTTATCTAAAATGAAACTGAATAACATATTTAACATATTGAGTGTATATTGTCAAATGAAATTATAGTTAAATAAGAATGACACTTTAATTGTGTTGTAATGAAACCATAGTGTATCTAAAATTAAATGAGCAACATGACTCATATATTGAGTGTACATTGTCAAATGAAATTATAGTTGAATTAATTAAAATGATACTTCAGTTATATTATAATGCAACTACAATGTGTATAAAATGAAACTAAATAACAGGTCTCACATATTGACTGTATATTATCAAATGAAACTGTAGTTATATCAAAATGATACTTTAGTTGTGTTGTAATGAAACTATAGTGTATCTAAAATAAAATTGAATAACATGTCTCATATATTGAGTCTCATATATTGAGTATATATTGTCAAATAAAACTGTAGTTGAATTAAAATGATACTTTAGTTGTGCTGTAATGAAACTATAGTATATATAAAATGAAATTGAATAATGGGTCTCACATATTGAATGTATATTGTCAAATGAAACTGTAGTTATATCAAAATCAAACTGTAGTTATATCACATATTAAGAAATATAAAAGATATGGCGATGGTGTAACCCTATTCTCAAGGTGAATCACCAATTCCAAATATCTCTTGCATAATTTGGTCATAACTATGAAAGATTCCATTCAATTT